AGAAAAGAAAAATTCATCTGACTTTGACTTTGACTCCATTATAATCCAACTTTATATTAGGTTGCAGTGACTAACCAATTTTTTTTAGAATTGCAAATTAAGTTAACTAGGACAGTAGTCACTACAGAAGGTGGCAAAAGGGAACCAAATAGTTAAGTCCTTAACAAAATTAATTGGGAAAAAATATATGTAATAATCCTGATGATCTAGAACCAAGATCTGTCTCTGGGATGTTCTTTCTTGACTACTGAATCTTCTTTTATACCTATTTCTTAACCTTTCCTCCCTGATGGTTTAATTTCTATTTATAATTCCATTTCTTATGGAAGTTTCCTCAGGATACAAAAACTGGAACATCCTTCTCCAACTCATACATTCCTAGTCTCCTTACTTTCCCCCATTCCTGTTGTACAGTAAGAAAGAGAAATGGGGAGGTGAGGGTTCTGTATTGCACTGGTTTGGAGTAGCCATGCAGATGACTTTCGCACTAATTCTACATGCACTTTTTCATAAAAACATTATCACACACGTTAATATAGGCCTACATATGAGATACCTTATGGGCCATAGCTACCGTGTAGTCTGGTCTTGGGTCCTAATCATCACATGAAACATTTCACCTGGACTTCTTACACCAGGGCTTTCAAATTTTGGCTATTGTTCACTCTCAGATTTGTCCAGAGATTCAAAATTATGTTTTCTCAAACACAGTTATCCTAATAAAATCTCCACACTAGAATAAGCTATTTTTTTCTTCCTTTGGTGATTGGGAGTGGGTGATTCATAAGAAGGAATGTATGAACCAAAGGGAAGCACCTACAAGACCTAAAACTGCTTAGGTTTCTTAGGGCTTCAGACAGACCACCTGATGGAAGATATTATTTCAATGGAAAATATTATAACCCCCCACAGTAGACAGAATAATGACTCTCCAAAGGTATCCATGTCCTAATCCTCAGAACACATGATGGTACCTTATATGCAAAAGGAACTTTACAGATGTGACTAAGGATTTTGAASTGAGTATTTTATCCAGGTTTATTGAAGCGGATCCCATAATGCAGCAAATCATTATAAAAAAGTGTAGGAGATCAGAGTCAATAGTAGAATATGAGATGATGGAGCTAGAATTGGGAGTGATACAAGGATGGGACAATGAGGAAGGAATGCTGATGGCCTCTAGAAGCTGAAAAAGGCAAGGAATTCATTTCCTTGAAGTCTCCAGAAGGAACGAACCTCTTCTGACACTTTCCTTTTAGACTTTTTTATGTAAATTTTTTATTTATGTATGACAACGATATATACATATATAGAGCCTGATTTTTCATATCTTTGGTTGTATACATAGTATATTCACACCAATTTGTGTCTTCATACATGTACTTTGAATAGTAATGATCATCACATTCAACCATCATTAATTACYCCATGCCCTATCCCTTACCCTCCAACCCCTCTGCCCTATCTAGAGTTCATCATGCTCCCCCTCCCTATCCCACTATGAATCAGCCTCCTTATATCAAAGAAAACATTCAGCATTTGTTTTTTTGGAATTGGCTAACTTCACTTAGCATCATCTTCCTAACTCYGGATGGAGTTACCTACAGTTACCTGCAAATGCCATGATTTTATTCTCTTTTAATGCTAAGTAATATTCCATTGTGTATATATGCCATATTTTTTTATCCATTCATCTGTTGAAAGGCATCTAGGTTGGTTCCACAGTTTAGCTATTGTGAATTGTGCTGCTATAAACATTGATGTGTCTGTGTCCTATAGTATGCTGTTTTTAATTCCTTTAGGTGTAGACTGAGGAGAGGGTTATTTTAGATTTCTGATACACATAACTGAAAGAAAATAATTTTGTGTTGCTTAAAGCTATTAAGTTCGTGATGATTTTTCATAACAGCAATAGAAAACTTAAATGCATACTGACTTCAAATAAGCCATTAAATCTATATGTGATTAATTGAATTTTTCAAAGATGATGCAAAAATCTCTCCCATTCTACACATTCATCTGAAATGTCTTTGGCCACCTCCTTATCAAGAAGTATATTTCATCTCCCCACCCTTTACTCCTTGGGTGGACCCTAGGATGGCTTTGATCAATAGAATATAGTACAGGTGAGTACAATGCCCCTTAGTAAAAGTGAGTACAATGACCTAGTAGTTTCTGCATTCTCCTTCTTGAAAGCTAGCCATCATGAAAGAAGCGGGACTTTGAGACCAGCATGCTAAAAGAAAGTCAACAATGAGGAGAGGCCCTGACACATGATATAGCAGATGGAGGAGCACAAGTTGTCTGACACAAGAGTAAATAACCATCTTGGAAAGGCTTTTCACCCAGTTCCAACTGCCCTGACTCCCTCCATGTGCTGCAGAGCTTCCAAAAACAGCCTCTAAAACCCTTTTCAAATAGTTGATTCACAAATCATGAGCAAAATACTGATTATTTAAGCTCCTCATTTGGGAGATGATTTGTTGTTCAACAAAAGATAACAAAGCACCATCTTTTGTAGTAAGTTGTTGACTATCTGAACAATGCAGTGATGTAAAAAATGCCTTCAGTGGCTATTAGGAAGTATATTTTTGGCTCTAAATAACCCCTAGTTAAAGTCCCTAAGTGTTTTATTTTTATTTTCTCAGCTATTTTTTCATAGTTTACTAGCAATAAATGTCAGGTTGCTATATTTAACTTCACAGAGTGGTAGTCAGAACAAAAGGAATGAAGTATGCCTGCTTTGTGATATTAAGCAATTATACAAATATTGTTTTAGTCTCTATGTAACATTAGAAGTTACCTTCAGCAACCAGAAACACTAATTCCTGTTGACTTAATTATAACACCCATGATTCCCAGAAATGGTAATGCTTTATTGACAGAGTTACACCTGGACCCCTTTGAAAACAAAAGTTAAACAACAATGGAAATTTTGGCACAAAAATTTGTAAGTTTTTCTAGCAGGACAGTGCAGCAAGATACAAATTAACTACCATGTCTTTTGGATTCCCTTAATGGTTTGTAATGAACATATCTTCAGTCACAATGAAATTAAAAATTCAAATGGCTGTCCAATAAGAGTGTTATCACTTGACATAGTGAAGGCTGGATATCTCAACCACAGCATGATKTGCCAAGTGTCAGAAATATCTTCCAGTCAGAAACTAGGAAATTAATTTCATACTACCTTGTGTAAGACAGGAAGCTAGAATCGGACATTCCAGATGTTTCCCAAGATTTTATTCACTTTGCAATTGGTCCAATAAAACTCCTTCTGAAGGAAGGATTCAAACAGTTTGAAGGACCAGTGAAGTGATTATGAATATAAATGAGGTCAAAAGGAGAACCTATACAGGTATGGGGATATGGTTAGTTTTTGGTAGAAGATRTAAACCAGAAATTCAACAATCTGAGCAAAACCCAACTTATCTACACGGCAAAAACAATTGTAATACAAGCAAAAAAGTCTTTTGGAAAAATGTTATCTCAGATATAAAATATCATAGGATAATGATGGAAAGATGCAGTTAGAAATCACCCAGCTGGCATAGGAATGTAGCAAGAATTGAATAGGAAAAACACASAGAAGCAGCAGTCTTGGTAATAATGAAGGAAGTTGATAAGAAGCTGAGTTTGTGAGAGCTGATAGTCCTTTTAAATCATTCTGCAGACTTTCTATCTCTTCTGAACATCTTTCTCAAAGACTTAGAAAACCTATATTTATCAGCAATTCTGTCTTAGGACTGGACTGACAGGAACCTTTTAAGAAAAACTTCATGGTCAGTGGATCCTGATCCTCAAAGTACCTAAAGGGAACATGTCAGTAAGATTTGTTTTCAAATATTCCTGAAAGCAGATAAAGCATAAAAGAAATGCTCAGTGTCCTGGATTTCAACTTTTAAACTGAATTAAATCATGATGTTAATAACATAAATTTTGAAATGGATTGTTTATCAAGTGAAAGAATGAGTTTGCATCTTCTTGTTGGTAGGGTAGTTGATGATATTCATTTAATAYTAACAAAAGAGAAATTTCAGATGTTATTGAGGAATTGAACTAAATTACATCCATTATGTCATACAATGTTTTGATGAATAGCTGTGAAAAAAATGCATCAGCACAGAATAATCTCCCACAAGAAGCAAAAACAAATTTCTCAATCAGTAAACTTTGGTAATAAAAGCCTTGCTATAGGGTTGGGGCTGTAGCTCATGGTAGAGCGCTTACCTAGCATGTGTGAGGCACTGGGTTCGATCCTYAGCACCACATAAAAATTAACAGATAAAATAAAGGCATTCTGTCCATCTACAAGTACAAAAAAAATTTTTTTAAAAAAACCTTGTTATAGGATTCTACCTCCCTKATTCAGCTTAAACAGTAGTAGTTCATCCCCTCAAGTGGAGAGGAGACATCAAGAATACGCCAGACCCATTTTCTTCAGTGGCAACTTGATTACTTTTTTACCTCTAATACTCCTCAATGAAGAACAACCAGAAGAACTTTGAATTTAAAAATGCATCCAAATATTTTTCCCCATATTATACATGTTCTTATATATTCTTAGACCATTGACAATTTWGAGGTTATGCATTTGTGTTGGTTTTTATTCAACTCACTTATATAGTATCCTATAATGTTTTAATATTCAGTGTTCATCAAAGTATATTTTAGATATCTGTTTCTCAGGGAAAGTGGGAATGTTTTATACATGAATCATTCAGCATAACAATGTACTGTGCCTTTCCTCTTGTTTACAATGTAGAAACTTARAGCTAATATACTACTTAAATCTTATAAACAGTCTTTTGGTTTAATCAATATGTTCTACTCAACTTTGACAGAAAAAAATAGATGAAAACATTTAAGGTTGATATTTTGAATACTAAATCCTGTGATCCATAAAAGCATAAACATCTTACCTCTTAGAATAATTTCTACCATGATTGCAAATCAACTAAGTGTGGCTGCTCTAAGATTATATTTGTTTTTTTCTACAGCTTGTCTTGGCTCCTTCCGAGCTGGATTGCTCACTGCTGCACGTCAATCATCTAATGCTTACCCTGACCTAAGGAGCTGTATCAATGGTAAGCACTCTACCATGGATTCCCAAAACAAAACAAAGCAAAATATAAACCCTGCAAGTAATTTATCATGTTAATATAAACTGATGTTCAAAAATCAACAAATGAGCCCTCAAATAAGTTMTTGTTTAGTAAGGGCTAGGTCATTGACTTTAGGAATTTTATTCTTAGCAGCTTTAGTTTAGCTGTTGTTGCACAATCATGTAGTATGGACCAAATGTCATAGTTGATTGATAGATCAAAGTAGTCATATTTACTCTTTGAACTTTGGGGCATCAATATTATAAATGTGAAAAATGTCATGTGGATGAAATTAGCCTCTGAAGTTTGCTTAAAGCCTAGTGATAATTTTAATTGACAATATTTTTCTCATTTGCCAATTTTCCAACCGAGGGTCCAAGAGAAAAAATGCAAGATGTAAATTGGGAAGTTTTTCAGTGGATATTTTACTTGCAGCATTGGCATTAATCTAGATATTTATTTTCATTTTCTCTAGTGTAAAGTGGTTGTCATTACATAGGTTGAACAGTTTGCCTGATCACATGTATTTAGTTCATACTTCATCTTTTTTTTCTTTTTTCTATTTACTAAARGCTTGGAAAATAATGGTTTGATAACAAACTATTATCATTAAACTAATATCTAATTTACTACTATTTTTCAAAATACCTTGGTTTTATGAGAATTTTTAAAAATTCTGGAATTAATTAGGTTTTAGTTAGATTGGTTAATTATGGATTTATAAACAGACATTTACTCTGGCTAAGGGGAATGTATTGGAAAGATGGGAAGAACTTGTACAAATAACTACAAAGAATTGAGAAACAGGTGTTAAGATGTGTAGGAAACAAGGGACCATTGCACTGTCTAATGATGGCAGAGAGAGAGACCCCAAATAAGTAAAGAAAGAAATGGGCAYGTCATTTAAGATAGTGAAAATTTGCTATGATATTTTATGAAGAAAATATAAAACAGCACTATAATACTTTTTAATACATTTTTTGTCTTACAATTTTTAACATGTATTTTCGCTGCTAATATTTCTTATTCTAAAATCAACATTATCTTATGTTAACATAGTCAATTCGGGTTACCTTTTGATTAATCTTTTCATGGTTTATTTTTCCATTCAGTAACTTTTAACTTATTATTGTGATAAAAGTAAAAATCTATTTTAAGTGAATGTCTTTGGGCTCTTGCTATTTAATCTAATCTGACAGTCTGTCTTTTAGGGAAGTGTTAGACACAGATCATTTATACTTAACATAACAGTCTGACCTTTTTAAGATTTCTTTTTGTCACTGGTTTTAATTTAAATTGAAATCGTATTTTTAAGCTTATTTGACTTGGGCTTTGTTGAGCTTCTTCGATCGCTGGGTTCATAGTTTTTCATCAAATTTGGAAAATTAATTTACCAAAGTTATTTATAAATATTTACTCTTTTTTTTCCTTTTCCATACCTCTCTCTTTTTGTCCTAGAACTTTAACAGCACATATGTTAGATCACTTGATGTTGGTTGACAAGTTACTGCTACTGTGGGTTTTTGGKTTTTATTGTTGTTGTTTTTATTTGTTTTCATTTTGGATAATATCTGTGTCTTGAAATTTATTCTTTTTTTTCTTCTGCTAAGTATAATTTACTTTTAACCTATCTCATTTATTTCTCATTTCATATATTGTACTTTACATGTCTCTAAGTCCTATATGACTCTATTGTATAGCTTTATCATGCTTATGTTTACTACTAGAACATATAGCATGCATTTATAATAGTTATATTGACTTATTTTTCTGCTTTTTATAATGTCTCTCATTCCTAGATATTTTTCATCAGTGAATTTTTCTTTCAATTGTAGGGTATATTTTCTTGTTTCTTTGAATGACTAGTAATTTTTGATTGTATATTGTACAGAACAAACTATACTATTCCCAGCAGCAATAGGAAAAGGGATTTGGGACTTCCAGTTAGGGTTAATATGGAATAATAGGATCAGATTTACTCTTCTTCCATAAATTAATAGAACTGGTCAAATATGTGGAACAACAGGTTTTAGACTTTGGACAACAAGGAGCAAGGTACCGTAATTGCCAAGAAAGAAGAAATAAGTTCGTTTGTTTAGTTYTGGGTTCTGTTGTCTTGTTCCAAATAGTCTTTGATTTGGGTCTGACACTCAGCTAAGTAACTTAGAGTAAGTTAAAAACAAATCTTTTGTGGCTTGATTTTAAGATTGATTAAGGCATCCTGGAAGAAGCCTTAAACATAACACTAATTTAACMCTAATAAGAGGATTATCAACCTTGTGAGGTTTCTTCCTGATTCCTTATATATATGTCTTGAGATTTTTAATGTCTGGCTAGTCTAAAATGAACCACATCTAACCCTATGTGAGCTCTGGAAATTGTCCTGTGCAAGTCATTATTCAGCTGAGGACCCTAGATCTCTGGAGTCAGTCTCTGCCCCTCTCTCTCCATGTATCCCCACTCTCAGTTCTACTTTGACCTTCCCARACTTTAGTATTTGTCTTCTCCACCTGGGGAGACTAGTGCTCTAATTGACTCCTGCACTGTTGCATGCAGACATTTCCAGACAGGAATATAGTTCTATTTTTTTAATTTATTTTCCCTTAGGAATCAGTTTTCTGCAATGCTTGGAAACCATTATTTTATATATTTTGATGAGATTACTTATTGAAGGCATGAAGATAAACTGAGTCCTTTTATTCTATTGTGGCCCAAATAGGAAGTCCCAAGTTCTTCTTTCCCATTGCTACTGAGAGAGGTTTCTTTGGTCTGCTTTACCCATGGAATTGTTTTTAGAATCAAAAAAGGCAATATGTTTTTTTAAAAATCTACATTATAGTTATAAAATATTATACATACTTGCAATATGATAGTAGTGTTCTTTCATAAAATACTTACAAATGTTTATATAATGGACTCACTTTTTTGAAAAAGCATTATTTGAAGGAAGGAGTCATATTTTTTCATTAGTTATAAGCTTCATATAAAAAATTCTATTGATAGGCAAATTAATTTCACWATGGCATGAAATAAAAATTAAATAGGTGTCTATTTCCTTCAGCTATTCCAGACCAGTGCAATCCTCTGCCTTGTAATGAAGAAGGATATGAGAGCTGCAAAGATGGCCAAGCTGAATTCACTTGCATTTGCAAATCAGGCTGGCAAGGAGAAAAGTGTGATTTTGGTATGTATAATTTTCAATCTAGCTCATCTGATTTGGACACATGAAAAGTTCTCTACAGGTCATATTATTTGAAAAATAATTTATTTTTCCTTTGTAGATATAAATGAGTGCAAAGATGCCTCAAATGTAAATGGAGGTTGCAGCCAGATTTGTGATAATACACCTGGAAGTTACCACTGTTCCTGTAGAAGTGGTTTTATATTGCTTTCAAATAAAAAAGACTGTAAAGGTAAGAATAAGAAAATAGAATAAAAATTTATTTACTGTGTAAGAACAACATTCAACTAGAGGAATTTCCTCAGGAAATTCTTGGAGAATGCTTTCATTGTGTTTATAGTATATGTACAATTTTATCCACCATGAAGCCTGGTGATACTATTGGATTACCTTTTAGTTTACAATACTGATAACAAGAATATTTTCATTTTCTCATTGTGTGGGTGCTCATGTATGCATGCATATTTCAATAATTTTATTATAAATCAGAATAGAAAAAAATTATTATAAAGTGAGGTTTCCGGGCAGATCTTTGCATGCTTCAGACTTTGTAAAAAGCATTTTGTATCCTTTGTTTTCAAATATTACCTAATATTACTCCCTTTATTTCAAAAAGATAAAAACTATAAAAAAAGACTTCCATGACCATCCTTAATAACCCCTTTCATTGAATTTTATTATTCCTTTTCCAAATTTCTGAGATATAAACCAATGTAAYTCTAAAGATTTCCAGAATAAACCCTTTATTTTGCACCTCATTTGTGGTTTTGGAAATGATGAAGATCTGGTTTTCTTTCTCTTTTCCTACTTAAGAGGATATTATTGTTCCTAAGTTTTTTTTTTTTCCTTCAGACTTACATGATCACTCTCAGTGTAGCTTTATAACAAGACATTTCACTACTATATTTGTTTTGTTTTTCTTCACGTTTCCCTGTTCCCCAAATTTTGACTTTTTTGTCTTGTATACTGTAACTTCCATTAAACTGCTCTAATTTGTGCTAGGTATGTGATTAAGTAAAACCAAAATTTCCCAGCCTGGAACCAGATTTTATCTGTAGAAWCTAGAAACATTTAATACAATTTTTCCCCTCTTCTTATTATGCTTTCTCTTTCTTCTTCTTWTTCTCCTCTTCCTCCTACTCTTCCTTCTTAGAATAAAAAATTTCAGTAAACTAAAATGTGAAATTTTCTTGATCAACCCCCTATTCATATCGATTTTGGTAAATTCCTACATGAGATTCATGTTCAAGAAATGATTTRTCCATCACTACATCATAGTATTTAGATTATCCAGTTTGCTATATTATTTAAAGTCTAGTTATATTACTCTGAAGTAAACTGTGTTTACTAACAATTTCTTCTAGACCATTATCCAATTTGTGAACATATATCTTATCTGCCTAGATGAGAAAATTCAGGTAATTAGAATRATAGTCTCATTAGAAAACCATCATAATTTCTAGAAACCATTCTCATTGTATAAATAGGACCCACTCCTATTTATACCTATAAATACTAGACTGTTCTTTTAAATAACTTGTGACTTTTTAAAATTAAAATGTATTTAATTTGTATCCACTGAATTAACACACACACACACACACACATACACATACACACATACAAACACACACATACTTATAAAAACTCCTTTAAAAAATAAGAATGTCCCTGTTGACCAGAACATATGTTTTTATATTTTTCACTTACATAGTCCTTATCCCATGATACATTCATAATAGAGTACTGAGCTTTTAGAAAAATATGTATAAAACTATTTCAGGGGAACATTTGCCAAGATGTRGAAATGCTTGGGATCAAGTTGCCAGTAATTGCCTAAGTGTGAAAAAATAAAACTCAGTGTAAAATCATAAAAGCTGAGTATTATAACCTAAATTCAATTGATCTGTGTTTCCTTTCAGTAATACTCAAACAAAATAATTTTACTTGTATGTTTTTGCTTTTTTTAAAAGATATGAACTTTAATTCTTCTTTAGAATTTTATTTAAAAGTAGTTAAAGTTTCACATTAAGTTGTAAGAAATAATAGAGATCACAGGTATCTTTTAGCCAATTTCTATCATTGGTAACATCTTTAAATATTATAGTAAAATGTCACACTCAGAATATTGACATTGATATAGTCAAATATAGAAAAATTCCCTTACCACAAGGTATTGATTCCATTATTTTTGTGCAATTATTTTAGATAAAGTCTGAAGTTTTAATTATTCTTCTTTGGAAAAAAATCCTGACAATTTTTAGAATATAAAATACATTTTCAATTTTGAATTTGTCTTTCTCCAATAAGTACAGGTGAGAAAATTTCACTAATACTTACATCTCCATCAGAYTTTTTCTGTCACTTGTTTCATTTTCCTCCTAAGTAAAAACTTATCTAGTAACTAGTTACAGTCCATATTTTATCTCCTACTTTACCATGCAATATAATAAATGCATCTGAAATTTTTGGAATATTAATTTGACACTAAAATTTGTATTAGATTAACAGCAGCTTTATGAATACTTTGAGACCTCCCTCAATCCCATTTTAAATGTGATTCATTGTTGAATACTTCAGGCAACAATTATAGTGAACAGATTAGATGTCTATTTCCCAAGAAGCTAAAACAGATAAGCAGTCTCATATTTTATATTTGTGATACTAAGAAATGAAGATACTTTCAAGACCATGTCTCAGAAACTTGTATTTAGACGTATCCGTGAAAACTATTAAGAAATAGTTGAGTTTCTTATTTATTTATTTATTTTTATACCTTAACCCGGAAGGTAAGAAAATGACTAAATCCCTCTTTTTTTTTAAGAGAGAGAGAGAGAGAAAGAGAGAGAGAGAAAGAGTGTGTGTGTTTTTTTAATATTTATTTTTCAGTTTTCGGTAGACACAACATCATTATTTTATTTTTATGTGGTGCTGAGGATCAAACCCAGTGCCTGGCACATGCCAGGTGAGCACGTTACCGCTTGAGCCACATCCTCAGACCAACTAAATCCCTCTTTATTTTTATGTAATGATAAAGAAACATGTCAAATATCAATCAAATTTCTTATGAATTTATATAAACAAATCATATTTAGTGAGTTAAAATGTGATGACTRATTTAATATTTTGTTGTTCCAAAGTTAGTCTGTGATCTCATTGTATAAATTAGATTCAGGAAACACAAATTGAGGGTTGTTTTTCGGCATATTCTGCTATTGGAAAAATGTTTTTTATTTTTAATTTATTGTTTTAATTTATAGATGTGGATGAATGTTCCTTGAAGCCAAATGTTTGTGGCACAGCTGTGTGCAAGAACCTCCCAGGAGACTTTGAATGTGAATGCCCTGAAGGTTACAGATACAGTCCTAAATCAGCATCTTGTGAAGGTAGAATGGTGGTGGTATCAAGGCTGCTGGTGGAGAGGGTGGACTTGAATCCTGAGCTGATATTCAATAACACTGGTTTAATTTGACAGTAGCACTCCTATTATTTACTTTTTAATTTAGCTTGGTCAATTTGGTGATCATTGGCTTTCTTCCCAGAATAAAATGATCTAAGATGCATGGTCTTTAGTTTTAATATGATGCACTCTATTTGGCTCTTAAAACTACATATGAGTTGGAGACCTCCATRTACAATAAAAGCAAGATAAACATATTTTAACATCACTTAAATAATATTTGAAGATAAAGAAAATTTCAGCCTGATAGCAAAAACGCATGTATACAAAAGAGAGACAGAAGTTTAAACTGCCTTTAAACAGTTGGATGATTTTTTCCATGAGACTGAAACAGTGACACTGGTTAAAAACCTTAGGTTTTATTCCAAGCTTTCAGGCATATATAAGTCATTAATTCTAAGTGGAACATAATGTAGCTCTATTATCATAAATAAATGAGACCCTAGCTCTAGAAAGTTGAGAAATATTGATCAGTAATGTCATTGTCCATGGATTTGAGCTAGCCCCTGCRAGTTGCTTCTCCTTCCTTTGTCTGTACGGGTCTTGCCATGTGTGCCTTAGGTAGCTTCTGCATTATGTATATAGGGTAAAAATGGGAGTTCATAACCCGCTTAAATCAAATGTATGAAATATGATATGTCAAGAACTTTGTAATGTTTTGAACAACTAATAAAAAAAATATATATATATATATATATATATATTAGAGGGTTTTTAAAATTTTATCATGATAAACAAATAATTTTACACCTTCCTTCAAAATTTTTAAAATTTTAAGATGAATTTAATATCATGGATAAAACTGATCAAATAAAAAATAATTTTTCAATTGTGTAATGTACATATATATATTGGGGGGAGGGAGCAAGTTCTCTCTTCTCTCTCTCTCTCTCTCTCTCTCTCTCTATATATATATATATATATATATAAAAGTGGTTAAAAAGAAATAGTATATATAATATTATATTTATAAATATTATATATAAAGAAATATTATATATAATGTTTATATAATATTATATATAATATTTCTTTTTAACCACTTTTATGGGGGGATTGGAATTGAACCCAGGGGTGCTTTACCACAGAGCTACATCCCCATCCCTCCACCCYCCACACACATTTTTTTGAGATAGAGTGTGGCTAAATTGCTTAGGCCTTGCTTAAATTGCTAAAGCTGGCCTCAAACTTGTTATCTTTCTGCCTCAGTATCTTAAATTGCTGGGATTTACAGGCATGCACCACGGTACCCAGCTCCTTGTAACCACTTTTTTAAGTTTTTATTTCAGGGACATTAGTTACATTCACACTGTTGTGCACTCATCACCACTGTTTCCAAAATGTTTTTATCACTCCAAACATAAATTTTGTAATATTGAACAAAAATATCCCTCTTATTAGTTACCTAAATRAATAATAATTTTAGAATAGACTTTTTTCAACAAATATGCTTCTCTTAAAATTTCAGTGTCCTACCTCCTCATGTACTCACTCACCAAAACACCCCCATCCTTACATACACCATTCTTATGCTTCACTTCAGATGATAATTACTGTGGTACACCCTAGGAATTTCAAGGTTTATTTTTAGCCTACTTCAACACCTACATAATTGCATTAGTCAATGAATGAGAGATACTTTCTTAAAAGGAATGATTTGTAAATAACTATTCATATATGTAAAGTTAATCATATAATACACAATTAGAGGGAGCACTAATTTTGTGGATCCACCGTGAAGCCTTTTTTGAGAACTTAAATGATACACTGAATTTGAGAATTTTGTACCCAATGAAATTATTAAGGATTTTTATGTAGCCAGCCTTGAAGTGAACTTTAGTTTAAGCACAATATTACAAATTTCAACAATGATTTTTTCCAAAATGTCACTGAGGTTAGGGACCAGACCAAAAACCACACAATATGTGAGATAATATCATAGCAATGTTAATTTTAAAAAAAGATAAAAAGAAATAAAGGTATGTGCTTAAATGTATTGCTCCCAATAATTATTATATTATGAGTAGTCAAATGTTCTTGATACTGTCATTTAATCCCCATTGCTTTAATGTGCAGTTAGTTAAAAGGCATTTTTTCTTTTTTTACTGTTCCCTCTTCTGTCYTTCCTTTGCTTCCCTATCTTCACCTCCATTCCCTTTCTTCTCCTTTCTTTTCTTCAAAGCAAAGAATTGGGAGCTAATCTCAAGATCATTCATATAATCAGATAAGACAGTTGAGACCCTCAATAATTTTTTTCTTCAAATTCAAAATCAGGAAATTGGTATAATTGTTACACTATTATTAGTTATTAATTACTAGATTTGTTGTTTCAAGTGCACAAGTAAACCTTACACTTACAACTCATTTAAATTTCCAGACCCAGTGTTTTAAGACTTGATGTCATAGGAATTTCTTTCTCTAAAGATCTGTTGTCATTGATTATCTCATACTAAAATCTGCCTGTTGGATTGGTCATTTAGAAAATTGTAAGGTTTGTGTTCTTTTTTTACCCTAGATATAGATGAATGCTCTGAGAACATGTGTGCTCAACTTTGTGTCAATTACCCTGGCAGCTACTCTTGYTATTGTGATGGGAAGAAAGGATTCAAACTTGCCCACGATCAGAAGAGTTGTGAGGTAAACATTTACAATGCTAAACTTCTTACCTCTTTACTAAAATGAGAGAGCCAAGCACTTATTTCCATATAACTGAGGTAAGTCAGCAAAATACAGATGTTCAGTAATAATTGTAGATCTAAGCAGGCTGTAAGTCACAATCTGTTAGCTCATTGTGATCATGTAAGTCATAAAAATTGGGAATAATTAGTGGCTACATTAAAAAGGGGGCACTTAGAGTGTAGCCTGTGCATTTACAAACTTCAAACTATATGCRTACTTAAAAAACTAAGAAAAGCTAAGATTAGTACTTTTTATATGAAGAAATATCTTGCATAAAAATTTTAGTGAAAACATTTTCTAATGTCTACCTTTCTGAGTTCTACTCTAGCAAGTTTGATCATGCTTAAGGTGTCTTAGTACTTGTAGGAGTGCTCTTAAACTTTCAGGTCAGTATAGGATTTAGTAGGATTTACATATGTCAAATTTTAGAGCCTAATTTTGTTAATCTGTGTCTCTCAAACTTGCTTTTAGTCATTCAGATTTAATGCATAATTGACCCAGGAATTGAATTTTCAGGTAGGTTTTAGTTTTTCCTTTATTGAAATAAACAGGCCAACATCCAAAACTCTTTTTATTTTCCTAAGTAAGGATTGTRTGTTAGTGATTCTTTCAATCTTAGCACCATTTTTTTAAACATGCAAAGGTTTTATATATACATATATATGGCAGACTATTTTAAATTCCCAAATGAGGAATATATACATATACCTCTTTATATATTGCCAAGACAAGGATTATATGTCCAGAAAAGCATAACTTTCAATATCATGCTACCTACTCGGTAAAGAAAAATAAGGTAAGCTAGTTGCCAAATGTAGTAACTTTGGTATTACTATATTAAAATGTCATGCTGTGTGAATATTTTATTTTGTAACTTAGTTGCTTATTATTTCAATATTTGCTTTAGTTACATATCACCATCTGTCTTGAAATAGAGGAAATGAAATGTTTTTTCTGGCCTGTATTTAACAGAGGGCTATGTTTGCAGTTTTCCTCAAAATATCCTTATATGTGTCCAAGAACTTATCCTAAAGAAATTTTCCATTTTAGCATTTGTTTTCATTCTTTGAAAACAAGTACTTGATAAGACATGTGATAACTTTAAATCACTTTCTTGTGACTTCCTTGGGGACTAAGATGATACCTCATGTTTATTCTTTACAGGCTTTTCAATATTTCCCTTTACTGTCTAGATAGCACGTTCTTGCTCAGAATGCGTTTGCTTAAAAAATGAATGAGTGAATGAATGAGATGCTGTTTGTTGGTACATTCATTTTTCCACCTATGTTCAACTCTAAATAAAAATAATCTTCAGATTTAGTTCATGAAGGCATCATACCTAACAGTTAATTAAAGAGGTACATGTTGGTACTTAAAGAAAAAGATTGTGTTTAACCCTGAGATTTGCAAAGGAAATATCAAAGAGAGAAAGTTAGAGTTACAAACATTGAATAATTCAAACTTGAAGAAGATCTCATAGATTCTTGGAGGGTATATTGAAGAAAGTGAAAGATACTGCTTTATTATTACCAAAGATATTTTTAATTTAAGTGTATAACAGGATACATTAGGAACCTGAGAAAAGACACACAACCTGCATAAACTCCAAGGAAGATTTATGCATTTTTTTKKTTGTTTGTTTGTTTGTTTTCTTCTAGGCAGTTCCAGTTTGCCTGCCCCTAAACCTTGACAAAAATTATGAATTGCTTTATTTGGCAGAGCATTTTGCAGGGGTTGTCTTATATTTAAAATTTCGTTTGCCAGAAACCACCAGGTAAGGAACCAATGTCATCAATAATTTCTAGAAGTTAAGYAGATAAGGACAGAAGAATAATAAATGGAAAGGTCTGAAATGTATAAAATTATATTGTCAATGAGATAAGTTAGATGTGTTATCAATCAGATGATTTGGGAAACCTAAAAATAATTTGCTCCTTCATACATATAACTTTTACACTAAAACTATTTTGAACTCTTTTCCAGTACTTATTTTACTTTATCCCATCATTCTTCACTTTATAATGAATTTATTTAATGTACTTGTGAAATTTTCACTTTTCTCTGTACATGTTCTGAAAACTAGATAAAGGAAACATACTCAAGTATTTTTTAGAACATCAATATATGCAGCACTTTGTTGAATGCATGTTTAGAATTTATTAGCTATATGAATTTTTTCACCTCTTCCTTTGATAATTCAACTTCACAGAATTCTTATTATTAAAGAAAACTGAAAGTTATTCTCTGATTCATTTATGTAATTGTGTTCCTTTAATGTTCCATTTCATGAATGTCTCAAAATAAATAACATCTTCTTTTCTTTTGGGGGGGTGTAGTATATTCTTCTTTTTAAATTAACATTYATTTTTTCTAATTTGTTATACATGACAGCAGAATAGATTTCAATTCATTGTACACAAATGGAGCAGTTTTTCATTTCTCTGGTTGTATACAAAATAGAGTCACGCCATTTGTGTCATCATACATGTACCTAGGGTACATAAATCCATCTCATTTCACTCTTTCCTAACCCCTTGTCTTCTCCCATCCCCTCTCTCCCCTTTGCCCTGTCCAAAGTTCCTCCATTCTTCCCATGCTTCCCCCRACCCCCATTGTGGATCAGCATCCACTTATCAGGGAAAACATTCAGCCTTTGGTTTTTGAGGATTGACTTACTTCACTTGGCATGATATTCTCCAACTCCATTAATTTACCTGCAAATGCCATGATTTTATTCTCTTTTATTGCTGAGTAATATTTCATTGTGTACATATACCACAGTTTCTTTATCATTCATCTATTCAAGGTCATCTAGGTTGGTTCCACAGTTTAGCAATTGTGAATTGAGCTGCTATAAATATTGATGTGGCTGTGTCACTGTAGTATGCTCATTTTTAAGTCCTTTGGGTATAGACCGAGGAATAGAGGAGTCAAAGGGTGGTTCCATTCCAAGTTTTCTAAAGAATCTCCATACTGCTTTCCATAGTAGTTGTACCAATTTGCAGTCCCACCAGCAATATATCAGTGTGCCTTTTCCCCCAAATCCTTGCCAACACTTATTRTTGCTTATATTCTTAATAACTGCCATTCTGACTGAGTGAGATGAAATCTTAGAGTAGTTTGATTTGCATTTCTATAATTGCTAGAGATGTTGAACATTTTTTCATATATTTGTTGATTGATTGTATATCTTCTTCTGAGAAGTGTCTGTTCAGTTCCTTAGCCCATTTCCTCATTGGGATATTTGTTTTTTTGGTATAAAGTTTCTTGAGTTCTTTGTATATCCTGGAGATTAGTGCTCTATTAGATGTGTGTGTGGTTATCAAGGCACCAAAAATATACATTGGAGAAGAGAGAGCCTCTTCAACAAATGGTGCTAGGAAAACTGGAAATCTATACGCAGCAAAATGAAATTTAGCCTCTAAATTTTCTATTCAATAGTACTTTTGAAACTGAATGAATTGTTCCCCAATGTAATGAATCAGTATGCTGATGATGTATTCCAGAAACAAAATATTCTGAACACAACTCTTTGAAATACCATTCTAGTACAATTTTATAAAGAAAAGGAAATTATCTTCATAATAGGATCAACTTCTGGAAGATCCTGACCATACACAAATTTAGATTTTGACAAGATAATCCATGTTTCACATCAGTAAAATGCTCAGATCATTATGAAAAAGAATAGAAGTCCAAGTAAAATGGTTCTTTTTAAATGTGAACTGATGTCAGTAAATTCCCACTCATTGTTATCCATCCAACATACTTTACTCCACATTTTACCTCTTTACAATATTTACTTGGGATTCTAATGATGGAAAAGTTTATTCTGTCACTGTTTGATTGTTACCTTTGAGGAAGGTCTGTGCTCCATTACAAATACTACCTCTATTACCATTACTATTAGATGTTGGGATGAGGATGTAGAATTCCTTGTTCATCCAGTAATTATCAAAAGTCTGGACTCTTTAACTTAAATTACTTTTCTTTTATCCTAGATAATTAATAGGTAGGCAGCTATTTTTCTTTCTCCATGTTTGTCTTTTTAAAATCATTTTGATTATCTGATTCCTTGGAAATTATTAAGGCTAATTCTCATTAAAGTGTTCCAAGGGCACTGAATCAACACATTTTATTTTAAATCCAGCATTCTTAAGATTTTCTTTCCTTATAATGTCTGTACTATATCCACATCCCAAGTCTTAATAGCAATAGGCATTGCCAGAGCTCAGAACCCTCATCACATGGTGAGACTATTTGCTAAGCTTTCCTTCCATGTGTTCTACTGCAGCTACTGCAGTGATTTACACATTAGTTTTTTTGAGAGCTTTTGAAATCAAGCTAACACATTTTAAAGTGTTTTTGTTTTGTTTTCTGTAAAAGTCTCATTAATTACTGGCAGGGTGGGGGAGGGTCCAGACTGTCTTGGGAGCTTTCCCCATTGCTGCCAGGGCATTGCTCAACTCCTCTTGCTTCCTTTTGGCAAGAATGTGAGTCCCCATCCTTTTCTTGATGAACTCACACCTCTGTGATCATTTCCCACACACACTTATTGTGTTTGGTGAGGCATCCATGATCGTGGCTGTGTATTAGCTTATTCACAATCTTGGTCACCTTGTCCTTATTGAGGCCTATGGCCCTRGGGTATGGAAGAACCACCACTGCCTTTCTTCAATGGCTGCTGTCTGAAGTTTTTGTTTGTTTGTTTGTTTTTTGTTTTTTTCCATCTTTATTACACACGAACCCTTAATTATATTTGCAGTCATCCAGATGCTATCCTGTAGAGCTCTGTGATTCTTTCTTGAAATATATGAAATCACAGGGAAAACATGCCTTTCGATATTACACCAATCACAAATTGTAACATCTTTCACTAATCTCTTAGGGATATAGTAAGCAGGCACGCATGCACTTTTAAACATACACACACACACACAACCTTTAACCTCAGAATGTATTGTGTATAAAAGGCTCCAGGATAAATTCAATATGCCTAAGTTCTATTCTTTTATATTCATTCCAGCATTTGAAAGAGGCCTTCAAAACATATACCAAAAAAGAAAAAGAAAAATTACCAAAGCATCTTTCTGTTCACTGAGACAAAACCTCCAATAATAAGCAAGAAAATGTAGTAACCAGGTTTTATATACATGAAGCACAACATATGAACTGTCTAATTCTGACTTTTTAAAAATTAATTCCAGGGCTGGGATTGTGGCTTAGCGGTAGGGCGCTCATCTAACAAGGCCCTTGGTTTGATCCTCAACACCACATAAAAATAAATAAACAAAATAAATGTATGTGTCCAGCTACTTCTAAAATATAAATATTAAAAAATTAATTCCAGGGAATGAAATAAGTAGTTAAATCTTACAGCATGTTACTATTTGCAAGCACAAGGAAAAATAAAAATGATGATACTTTGAACCTTCCATATTTCCCACCATTAAGAATCTCTCTTTGGCCATTGTTTAGATTTTCAGCTGAATTTGATTTCCGGACATATGATGCAGAAGGTGTGATACTGTTTGCAGAATCTCTCGATCACTCAGCTTGGCTCCTGATTGCACTTCGTGATGGAAAGATTGAAATCCAATTTAAGAATGAGCACACAACTAAAATCACAACTGGAGGCAATATTATTAATAATGGGATATGGAATATGGTAGGTTTTACAGATTTTCCACTTTGATGCAGTCTGTATGAACTCATAATTTGTATTTATAGTGATAGCAAAAAAAATGTGTGTACATGAGTTATTTTCTACACTCTATACATCCTTGGAACAGCCTAAGAAATAATATTTTCACTTAATATATTTAAGGTTTCCTCTAACTAAAATTGTTTCAGTTACTTGTTTGAACTACCTAATTTTTAGTCTTTTTAGTGGCTGTCATTGGGTGAACAGTGGTGTCTCTCCTGTTATGTTAACAGGCATAACAGTTTATGCATAGACACCACTAATCAAGAATAGCTACCCTTAATTGCCACAGATAATTTTTAAAATAAGAGAAATACACTGTAATAAAAATMAAAAAATTAATTCAACTTAAATAAAAACTTATAGATATGTAATCAATTTGTTCAAACAGTATACAATAGTGGATACAAACAGAGTACCTAAAGATATCATTTTAATATAATCTCCAGAATGGCCTTTATTTTAATAATTGATATCATCTTTTTAATCAACTGGATTTAAATGGGAATTTTCTAGGAGAAAATATTACTGTTTGTTCATAGTGGGGAGRAGACTTTTCTGTGGCATTACTCTTTTCAGGAGAGTACAGTTGAGAGACAAGCCACTTCACTTAGAGTGCAGTGTTCAAAAGAGACTGTGCCTATGAGAGCTCCTGAGAGATCTGTTAAGCTAGATGAGGTCACACCGMTCCATTATTTTATGCCTTTATTTACCCACTCTAGAGCTTCTACTGAGCATTTTTAAAGTGCTGAGTTCCTGAGCTCAACGTGACAAAACTGTACCATGAGCTAATCCTTGCTCTTGAGCTCAACATCTCACAGTGAAATAGCTGATGTCATTTTATGAACTAACAAGGTATTACAGTAGAGCTAGGAGCAAAATCTTGATGGTCACAGACGTGGCTCACCTTTGGAAACCATTTGTCCTTGGGCAGTGTGGATTTGAGATTCCTAACTTGTAAAGAACATTAACTGCACAGGACCAGATGCAACTGAGAAATCGTAAAATTCTCTGGATTTTCTTGATGTTCTTGTTAGTATAAATTTGCTGCTATATCTTTCCTGCTACATCTACGCCTCCAATATTTGATKAATACAGTTATTCCCTGAATGTAGTAAAGAACACATTTTACTATCTAATTTCCCAAAATTACTAATTATAAAATCACTTTTACCTCAAGAAAAGGTAAAAATGAACTTTTTGTCCAGAGAATAAATTGAAAATATCAACTGCTTTAACGAGAATTTAAATAAATTTCCAAGTAGTCAGAGAACATCTTTTTAGGGMACTAATAAATGCAATGCTGGCTATTCTTAATTCATGAATTTATGAAATTTCAGCCAATAATATAAGCAAGACTGCTTTTCTCATTTTGTATCACTTATTGTGAAAATGTTATTACTACATTATATTTTTACTGTTTTAAAATTTTGATGTGTCACTAATAAATTGTGCTCTTTTAGAATACTTAGCACATGGATTATCTCAAATAAATAAGCTAAGAATTTTATTGACAAAAATGTTAATCTATAATCTGGAATATTTAGTTTATTCCACTTATTTCAATGATTTAAACATTTCAAAATTTAAAAAAGTTAAAAGTAAGAAATTCAAATTAAAATGTATAGTCTAGAATTATTTTGTAATTCAGAAAAATGGCATAGACTGTGTGATTATGAAGTAATTAGCATGGCTGTAACTCAGGGAAATGAATATTGCTGTTCTATATATGATTATCTCTCATATTTTAGTATCATCTTAATATCAGTGCAATATATATAATTGTATCAAGGTTGCACTTTTGACTGGAGTACTGACAGTAGGGGTGGTGAGAAGTGGTCAGATTCAGATATATTTTTAAGGGTAAGCATTCAATGAAAATTTTTGAATATATAACCAAACCAAATATTTGTTGAGCATTTTATCTGGGGATACTTATTTTAGGTTAATATGAATATTATGACAAATAAAGTGAAGTTACTGGTCACATAAAACTTGCATTCTGATACATGTGATAGCGCACACCTGTAATCCCAGTGATTTTGGAAGCTGAGACAGGAGGATCACTAGTTCAAAGCCAGTCTCAGCAACTTAGCAAAGCTCTAAGCAACTTAGTGAGATCCTGTCTCAAAATAATAAATCAAAAGGGCTGGGGATGTGGCTCAGTACTTAAGCACCTCTGGTTTAAACCCCCAGTACCCACCCTGCCCTCATAAAAAAAGCTTGCATTCAAGTGGTGAAGTGCAATTAAAAAAATAATTATGTCAGATAGTTATTAATGCCATGAGAAAAAAGAAAAGCAAGGCAATAGACAGTGATATCGAGTGTGCATATGGAATCAGTGAGTATTCATATGGGATCAGGAGCAGCATCTCAGATGAGATTAGATCTGTGTAGAGTCTTGGGGACACAAGTCATTATATAAGCAAATAAAGGGAAATAATTT